GCATGGTTATGTCAAAGAAAAAAACCAGTCCACAATGCACTTTATCATTAAAGGGGACCCTTTTCAATCAAATCTATAAGTTCAAATACTTAGGGACATGGATTACATTAGATGGGAGATGTTAAAATGAGGTCAAGAGCAGAATAGCACAGGTTAAGACAAAATTATGAAGATGAAAAATATATTAACTAACAAATGTATATCAATGAAAGTGTGCAAATAAGTTCTTAGTTGTTACATCGAACCAATCTTGATGTACGATTGTGAATCATGAACCATAAAAAAACAAATGCAAAAAATCACTTAATGCGACTGAAATATGGTTCCTGTGTATAATGCTTAGGGTTTCCTATAAAGACCAGAAAGAAATGAAGGAGTTCTACAACAAGCAGAAACAAAAAGAACATTGATAACAACAGTACGAAAAAGACAAGTAGCATTATTTGCTCATGTGATGAGAAGAAAGGGGATGGAACACTTGGGAGCAACTGGGAAATTTTGAATATTTTGAAGACTCTGGCGTAACAAAACAATGATTTTTAATCCTTTGGTCAATAACAGAGGTTTATGGAATTTATTTAAACGCACAAAAAAAGTTGAAAAACGCCACGTGATAAAGTTGATGCTATATATAGTCTAGTGAATTGAGAGACAGGATAAAAACAAACGGTTCTGTAACGATTGGTTTGGAAATACAACTGGTTTTCTATTTTAGCAGCTATACAAATAAATTGGGTAAACAAATCAAAATAAACATTGAAACTTGATTCAATCACTGTATTACGTGAAACTCATTAATGATAGCTCATTCAACATAGGGGCACATTTTATGTTTTAAGTGGAACAAAAAGAAGCCGATATTTAAATCAAACTACAGTGAACTATTGAAAACACCCTTATAATTCTTGTATATGTAACGAAAACATGGAGGTCGTCAACTTAAGATTAGCTGTACATTGAAGTAAAAACATTTGTTTTGTTTTTGAATTTCGCGCAAAGCTACACGAGGGCTA